GGAGGGTGAAACACCAGAATTCCAGAGGCTGGGAAGGGTGAAACCCAAATTCCAGAGGCTGGGAGGGTGAAACACCAGAATTCCAGAGGCTGGGAGGGTTCCCTGGTGCTGAGGGGGATAAAAGAGACAAAGAAGGAAAAGTGGAGACTCCCATGAGCTGAAACCACAGCGGGGAAGGAAAGACACAAAAATCCTGCAAACCCCTGGGATTGGGGATGGAATTCCTGGAACAACTGAATTTAGGAGATGCAGGAGCTTGCCCCTCCTCTGCCTGGCAAACAGCACCGAAAAAAGCAGGATTCTCCTTTATCCTAGGAAAAAAAAGAAGCAGCAGGCCCCTTAAAAACCTCTTTAATCGTTTCCAAACTTTATTTCTGGGTGATTTGACGAAAGACACGAGTTAGTAATGGTTACATCATGCTGCTCCTCTACTGCGCATCGCCCGCCACAGCTCAGCCAGCAGCTCCCCAGGGCAGGAATTCACCCTCTCCATGGACACCTCAGGGGTTTAAATTAAAAAAAAAGCCAAAAAAAAAATCAAATCCAGAAAAAAAAAACCCCAACCTCGATGTTCTTTTTTTTTTTGTTCATTTTTTTGGCACGTTCTGTGGTAGAAATGTTGTTAAAAATAAAGCCCAGGTGAATGCGCTGCTGGAAATTCCCAGTGCTCCCCCATGAGGACACAAATCCTGGTTTAAGGCATTTCCAAGCCCCAGCAAAAGCAAAATGAGTTTTTATATTTATTTTTGTTCAATTCTTGGGGTTTCTTTTTCCTCTTTCTTGACTTTATCCTGAAAATCAGCAGCTTCCCCATCCCTCTGGAGCTGGAACACCAGCCCAGCTGGGAATGCCATTCCAGATTCCCAAAATTGGGACTGGGGTCTCCCAGACCCCTCCCTCCCATCCCACCAGGAATCCCAATTTGGACCCAGCAGCCCCAAAAAATGGGAATTTTGGCACTCACAGAACCCCCAGGCACAGCAGAGCCCCCATCCCACACAGGGCACAGCCCCCCATGGAATGTTTAACCCTGCATTTTCCACAGCAATCTCACCGGTTGGGAATATTTATTTTTTTAAAAAATCAAATAAATGAAATCAAAGCAGATCCAAGTGGTTTTTCCATTGGTTTTCCCTCTTGGTTCCACCTTTGTTCAGAGCTCACCCTGAGAGAAGAAATTTGACCTTTCCTGGCTCAAAAGTTGGTGCCAAAACTCCCATTTCAAAGGGTGCCCTGCAAGGTGGGGTAGAAATTTAGGGGAAAAAAAGCCAAATTCTGGCACTTCAGGCACAACTCCCACCCAGAACCTGGTGGGATCCTGCAGATCAATCCCCAAAGTTGTTTTTCCACAGAGAATTCCAGCTGAGGGTGGGAAAGGGACCCAGAGGCCACAAACAGCAGGGAATCCTTCCATGGAGAAGGAATCCCAATGGAAGATGGGATTTCTTCCAGGGCTGGGATCCCTCTGTTCTTCTCCACTTCCAGCAGACCCCGAGCTGCAGCCACACCCCAGAAACTTCACAACTGGCCCCAGAACTTTCCTTTCCTGGAAGAAAATGCTTCAAATTCCCCCAAATACTCCCCAGCCCCGCTACCGCTCCTGTTGGAGCCGTTCCTGCAGGGCTGGCAGCATCCAGAGGATGTGGAAGACCCAAAAACTCCAAGTCCAAGGTGAAAAATTCCCAATTTTCTTGGTGGGAGAGGCTCCAGTGGCAGCTCTGCATTGCCAGGCTGGGAGCCAGAGGCTGGAGAAGGCTGTGGGGCGTGGAAGGACACATCCAGGAGATCTCTGAGGAGGAACAGGGAATCTCCTGGTCCTCTTGGGAGAGGGAGAGAATTCCCAGCTCTTGGAGAGGAGCTCCAAGTGATCCCCAGCATGAGGGAGGCCAAGGCTCGGTGGCCGGGGAGGGGTCAGGACACGTCTGGATGAACACAAAATGTGGCAATGAGGTTTCACAGCTGCTCCTGCACGTGTCCGAGAGGAGGAGGAGGAGGAGGAGAACCGCTGGAAAAATCCACATTTTTGCCTCCCCAGCACCTCTGAGTCCAGCAAAGAGTCCCGAGGCGAGCGCAGAGCGAAGCTTGGGCCTGGCTCTCTCCCTTCCAGTGCGTGGCATCCCTGATTTGAGCAGAGCTCGGAGGAGAAAAGCACTTGAGATCCTTACACACATAAATTACAGTGAGAGGAACGGGGGCAGCAGGAATCAGGTGAACACGGGGCCAGAGAAGGTTTGGAAGAGCCAGAGCCCGGAGCAGGGCGGGAATTCCCACCCCGCCAATCCGTGAAGGCCTCGCCAGCACCAGCAGCGTTTCCCCCACGGGAAAACAGGGTTGTTTTTGGGAACAAACCCCCCAAAAACACCAGGAAAAAAGGGGGAAAACAACCCCAAAACAAAAGAAGCTTCAAGTATGAAGAAGATCAACGCTGCAGTGGGAGAGTTCTGGTGTCACTTCTCGAGCTTTGTTCCGCTGCTCGGGCCCAGAGCCCGAAAGCAAAAAGGGTTTCCTGCCCTCCCTGTCCCCCCCAAAAATATAAAAAGCAATAAGTTTACAAAAATAGAAAATAATTACAGCAATAGGCAGGAGGGAGGGAGGAGGGAGGCGGGAGGGAGGTCCCTGGGCTCTATTTGGCCGAGCAGTGCAATATCCGGGGCTGGTTCAGGGCGTCCTCCAGCAGGTGCAGCTCCCGCCGGTCCACGAGCACGTCCCGCATGCAGCNATTTAAATATATTTAAATACATGTATCTATAAATAAATATATAACATATAAATGAATAGAAATATCTTTAATATAAATATATTAATACACACACTGTATAAATAATTTAGATTAATGAATAGATATTGAGATAATAATAGAAATAATGAGAAAATAATATAATTATTACAAATTTAAAATTATAAATTGTAATAATTATAAATAATATAAATAATGGAGATTTTTTTGGTTTTACCTTGTGGAATGTCAGGAATATTTGGTGTTTCCTAATTTAAATTCAGATTTAATTGCTGGGGCGAGCTGTAATTACAGGAACCAGCTGAGCATTGCAAATCTCGGTGACACATCCCAGAGAAATGTTCTGGGAAATCCAGCCCGGAGCTGTCACCAGGAATTTCCTGCAGCTTTCGGGGACAGGAGATGGAATTCGGGGCTGGGTGCAGGTGGTCCCTAAAATAATCGGAATTTTGGGGGGTTTCAGGAAGAACGAAGCTCAAAAATTGGGTCTGGATGCAGGTGGAGCTAAAATAATCCAAATTTTGGGTGATTCCAAGAGGAATAAAGGGACAGGAGCTGAAATTTGGCTCTGGATGCTGATGCTGCCTAAAATACCCCAAATTTGGGGGATTTTGAGGGGGATGAAGGGACAGGAGCCGTTTCCTCCTCGCAGTCAGAGCTGCAGCTCCGGGCCGAGAATTCCACACTTTTAACAGGAAAATCCTGAATTTCCTCCCTTCCCTCGGTTTTGCCCCAAATTCCAGCTCCCAGGAGCCAGGATCGCGGCCCAAATCTCCCAAAAAAAGCTTTTTTCCCCATTCTTTCCCCGCTGAAAATGTTGTCTGTCTCTTAGGCCGGGCTCAGCTCCGTAGGCCCAGGACTCAGAGATTCCCCCATGGAATCCTCTGCTCTCCTCCCAGCTCCCAGCGCCCGGGGTAGGTCCAGTTCTGGTTTTTCTGCCCCAAAAGGAGGAATTTGGTGGGAATTTGGCTCCTGTCCCTGCAGTTCCAGCGGATTTCCTGCTGGGAAAGGTCTGGGGGGATCTCTGAGGGCTCT